AATCCCAAATTTGGGTCTGGGGGTCCCGAATTTGGGGCTGGGGGTCCCAAATTTGGGTCTGGGGGTCCCAAACCAGCCAAAAACCCCAAATTTGAGTCTGGGGGTGCCAAGTTTGGGTCTGAAAATCCCAAATCTGGGTCTGGGGGTGCCAAATTTGAGTCTGGGGGTCTCGAGTTTCACTCTGGGGGTCCCAAATGTGGCTCCAGGCACCCCAGACCCCCCCAATTTGAGTCTGGGGGTTCCAAATTTGAGTCTGGGGGTCCCAAATGTGGCTCCAAACGCCCCAGACCCCCCGAATTTGAGTCTGGGGGTTCCAAACCCCCCGAATCTGGGTCCAGGCCTCCCAAACCCGGCTCTAAGACCCCCAGACCCCCCTCCCGACACCCCAAATTTGAGTCTGGGGGCCCCCGGGGGCGGGAATTTGAGTCTGGGGGTCCCAAACCCCGGGAATTTAAGTCTGGGGGTCCCAAACCCCCCCAATTTGAGTCTGGGGGTCCCAAACCCGGTTCTAAGCCCCCCAAACCCCCGGAATTTGAGTCTGGGGTCCCCCGGAGCCGCGAATTTGAGTCTGGGGGTCCCAAACTCCCCCAATCTGAGTCTGGGGGTCCCAAACCCCGGGAATTTGAGTCTGGGGGTCCCAAACCCCTGCAATCTGAGTCTGGGGGCCCCAAGAGCCGGGAATTTGAGTCTGGGGGTTCCAAACCCCCCCAATCTGAGTCTGGGGGTCCCAAACCCGGTTCTAAGCCCCCCAAACCCCGGGAATTTGAGTCTGGGGTCCCGAGGAGCCGGCAATCTGAGTCTGGGGGTCCCCGCGGGCGGGAATTTGAGTCTGGGGGTCCCAAACCCCGGCAATCTGAGTCTGGGGGCCCCAAGAGCCGGGAATTTGAGTCTGGGGGTCCCAAACCCGGTTCTAAGCCCCCCAAACCCCTCAAATCTGAGTCTGGGGGCCCCCGGAGTCGTGAATTTGAGTCTGGGGGTCCCAAACCCCCCAAATTTGAGTCTGGGGTCCCGAGGAGCCGGGAGTTTGAGTCTGGGGGTCCCAAACCCCTGCAATTTGAGTCTGGGGGCTCCCGGGGGCGGGAATTTGAGTCTGGGGGTCCCAAACCCGGCTCCAAGCCCCCCAAACCCCCGCAATTTGAGTCTGGGGGTCCCAAACCCCCCCAATCTGAGTCTGGGGGTCCCCGGGGGCGGGAATTTGAGTCTGGGGGCCCCAAACCCAGCTCTAAGCCCCCCAGACCCCTGCAGTCTGAGTCTGGGGGTCCCAAATTTGAGTCTGGGGGTCCCAAACCCCCCCAATCTGAGTCTGGGGGTCCCCGGAGCCGGGAATTTGAGTCTGGGGGTCCCAAGAGCCGGGAATTTGAGTCTGGGGGTCCCAAACCCCCCCAATTTGAGTCTGGGGTCCCGAGGAGCCGGGAATTTGAGTCTGGGGGTCCCAAACCCGGTTCTAAGCCCCCCAAACCCCCGCAATTTGAGTCTGGGGGCCCCCGGAGCCGGGAATTTGAGTCTGGGGGTCCCAAACCCCCGCAATTTGAGTCTGGGGGTCCCCGGGGGCGGGAATTTGAGTCTGGGGGTCCCAAACCCGGTTCTAAGCCCCCCAAACCCCCCCAATCTGAGTCTGGGGGTCCGAAATTTGAGTGGCGGGAATTTGAGTCGGGGGTCGCGGCGCTGTGCCTGCTGTGCCGCGAGGCCGTGAACCGGGCGCGGGTGCGGCGCTCGGGGGGG